CCGCTTCCTCTTGCGAGCTCTCTATCCCAACAAACCTTTGTTGGCCATGGTAGAGTTCCTCCATGCTCGCTTCAAGAACATCTAGGCGGGTTTCCGCTGTTGTGAGTCTCTCCTTGTGACTCTTTTTCCCGGTTAGCGCTCCAGACTGCGCTTCCTCCGCTCGCGGAGAGTAGCCAACTTCTCGCTCATCATGTTCGCTGCCGCGCTCCTCTTAAGCGGCTCCAACAACATGAGAGCGAGTGTGCACATGCAGCCCACCTACGGCTGCTTGGGGCAAGGGTCCGGCTTGCCCCGTCTTGCTTGATTCGCCACGATGCTTTGCCATGGCGAAGTTGCAAAGTTCGTTCGCTGCTCGCTCGAAGTGCTTGCCCGCTCTGATACCACAATGTCACGACCTTAGCTGGAATTGCCTAAGGCGTGAGGCACCCTTGCGGCCAAAGACGCGAACTTAGCTTGCGTTGCCTAAGTCGCGAGTCACCCTTGTGGCAAAGACGCGAACTTAGCTTGCGTTGCCTAAGTCGCACTTCGCCCTTGCGATATTGCTCCACAAGGATCAGCCCACTTGTAACCTCTCGTAGGTCCCGAAGGACTTGTAAAAGAGAAAGTTGGTTAGTTCGAAAGAACGAGCAACGGACAAGTCCCGAAGTCTCGCGAAAAGGGGAAGCTTTACAAGCAATTCAGCGAGCACCTTGCATGCACAAGAGAAAAGAGGGAGAGGGAGAAAACAAGGCTTTAGAAGGATGAACGAATAGCTGCAAGCCCACAAACAGCCGCTCACCTGATCCCGGGCGCGAAAACAAGTTCCCGTAAAGGCCACGTGCAAACTTGCGAAAGAGAGTTCAACGCCCGGTATATAACCGAAGCCCCATCCAGCCCTGTGCCACCCGGGAGGTTCAAAGGGGCTAAGATGGCTGACGTTTTGGTGAGCGGAGGCAGATTGCAGAAATCAACCCGCGGCACACGAAAACAGAGCTGTTTTGGACTGTTTTGCTCGGTTCGGTGAACGATCGCTTTGTAACGCTGCAGTTTGTTCGAACTTACATTTTTACAAGCAAAATGATCTAAAACCAAGAGAAAACATGCTATCAAGCAGTTGTACATATAGATGTGAGCGACGAACGGTTCGTTGAACGGAGTTGTTGTGGGTACGCGACGACCGCTCGTGACAGTCCGTCACGACCGATGGATAAAACAGCTTCATATCTCACGAGAACTGTTTGCATGTATATGTAAAACACTTCTGCTACATAAACAACCATAATCTAATTTTCGTGTTCAATTATGAATTTTAAATTATCAGTTAAGTCTTGATGTATGGCTTTTTCTAAATTAGATAGGATTTGATCTCAAATCCTAGCTATCAGCATTCAAGATAGGACATGTGACATCTTCCTAAATTAATAAAATCTCAATCTGGTATTCACACTCATTTGGTTTTATTAAAAAATAATAATAAAACATAAATACAAACCTAGACCAAACTCCACATATTAGTATTGGTTCTCATTGGATCTGTAAAATTCAGTATATAATTTTCTAACTCTCATATTATATATATATATATATATATATATATATATATATATATATATATATATATATATATATATATATATATATATATATATATATTCCAGGTTATAAATGGACAGATGGTTGCCGATTGATCACTATGTCTTTTTATCAACCAAAAAACGAAGTTAATCGAGTAATATACATAACATACACATCTACATTGTAAGGCACAAATGACATAAGATAGCTGTGTGACTGGTGGAGAAACCGCATAGATCCACCATACTTCACAGCTCAACATCTGAGCGTGTTGGAAAATCTAGGCCTTTTAGTGCAGGTATCTTTTCTAAATCTTCTGCTGAGAATAATGGGAGGAACCACAGCAACTTCTTTGTTCCGAAAACCTAAATTATATAGTAAAGAAATGAGATCATGAGAAAAATGCTCTGTCAGGCTAAATGATTAAGTACCTGTTCGAAGTTCTTCCTCTTTCCTAAGTCATACTTCCAGATAACTGCCTTCTTCTTCTCATAAACCTAAAGCATGCATATTGTATTTGGATAAAAAGAAAATGAGTCTATATGCTTCCACACTCATAACCACCTAAACACCTAAAAATAGCTGTTTGAATGTGTTTTTCTAACAAAAGGCAAATTCCAGTATGCCTAATAAGCAATTTCAGAGTCTAATGAGAAACAAAATACACTCTCAAAAGTCATATATTACCTCTATCGTGGTAGTATTGCTCAAGACAAGAGATGTGTGCATGCCCACGAAACAGAGAAGGCTTAATGCAAAAGCTAAATTAAGAACTGCAATAAAGAACAGCCATAATAAATATACCACTGGAAAACTTTGAATAAAAGGTAAGCTCATATTTTTTGGATGTAGGAATAAAGCTTACCAAAAGCTAGAAATGTAACCGCAAGATTGCCAGGTGAACTAGAATGTTTCCTCGCATCACCAAAGAACTTGACAAAATTTGGAAGCAAGACAAAGGTATCCAAAATCGTCTCCAGGAAAGTATATATCTGAGATTAAAAATTTAGAGAAGTGCATTTTGAGGGACAAAAATTCATATAACCATTTTTATAAACATCAGCAAACATTTACAACGATGAAGAAGCTTGCTACTTGACTGAATGTTGCAGATAATCATATTAGCAAGTGAAATCATGTAAACCAGTTGTAAAATGAACAATGACTATAAAACAAACTGCAAAGAATGACCACATATATGACTTCCATCTTTTTGCGCAGCAGAAGATGTAATCCTCTGTGCATGTGTATGTGCGCACATTTGTTGTTAATGAAAATCATCAAGGATTAACTGGTAGGTCTAAACAAATTGTAATTCCAGGATCATACCATGTAATTGAACTAATTATTGGATAAAAATCAAGTCACCAATTTAGCTTCACTTCCACCTAGAAACCTCATACTTGAGCATGGAAATCAAGTCTTTGGTGAATGTCCATCAGACAAGTGATTTAACTGTTAGCTCTGTGCACATATTTGGTTATTCAGTCTCCATCTTCCTACACATTCTACCTAAATTTCCATATTAGAAGTGTCTAAACTAAAATTTTACAGATACAAATACAAAATTACACTGAATAGGTAAGGAGATGACTAAATTAATCTCTAGGACAATTTTTGAAGTAGAAAGACAGAATGGTATGATCAATTTGTATTCTGGATTGAAGATCAGAATTTACAAAATTGAACAGTAATTAGCTTTCACATGAAGTAAAAGCTAGCACATTACGACATCCTACTCAAGCGAACCAATGATTCATGAATCAGCAGCAGCATTTTTAGACAAATCTAAAGAAACTTTAATTTTTGGTTCTTACTCTGCGACAAATCAAGGTTTTCTATTCACCACAAAATTTTCAAGGATATCAACTAGTACAAATTTAAACAAGGATGCAAATGTTTCCAGCTGTTTTCCTACAAAATCTCAGGTTGAAGGTCTTTTTACCTGTTTCATGCCTTATTGGCATTGTACGAAAAAGGCTGGAAACATTTGCATCCTTGTTTCAACCTCACGTGGCTCATTATGGCAGTAGAAAGCTCCATTTTGAAGTCTATAGGCATACAAGCTCTTAAAACTGAAATTTTGTGATCCAAAATAATTTGAGATCACCGGATCAAGCAATATGGATCCAAGGTCCAGGTTAGGATTAAAAGGAATTAGAATTATTAAATTCATAAAAATAAAAAATCATTAATTTGAGACAAAAAATTTGAAGTAAAAAGATTAAAGAGCTCACAAAACAATATGAAGTAAAAAATACTAATATTTTTTAGATCTATTAATAAAAACCCATAATATGATAACAAAAGAAATTTTACCAATCATTTATTTTTCATTTAATTTAAAATATTATTGCAATTTTCAAAGATCTCTATTTCACAAAGTATCAACTCCATCGTATCCTATAATAATATTCAGTTTCCCAAAACCATAAATTATTTTCAAATGCCATCTTGTAGAGTTGTTCTTGGTCATGCATTAAATCATATTCATTGTTTACAAACTGAACTTCAAAATTCAAGCAATGCATGGACAGAACTTAACATCCAAAATCTAGCGACCTGATGTGTAGTAGAACATGCATATTGAAAAATACCAGACATACCAGAAATAGGAGAAAGAATTTGTAATTGCGAGCCCCTACACAATTAACAACCCATACGCAATGATGATCCATCTTAAGCACGCATCTTTGACCTACAAGAATCAGATGACTGAAAATGAACAACCACAGAAGTCAAGAGGCCTGTTTTAAAATATGAGTGAAGAACCATCCATCATTGAAGAAGATGTTATGACCAAATTCAGAAACCGCAATTCCTAGCAATTACTGAACATTGTTTTATTACTCAATCACTAATATCCAACAAACTACCTGATATTAAGTTATATAAAATCTGCATATTAAGTATAATTTGTTAAATTATACATTAAGAAAAAATAATTAATGATTGATATAGTGCAATGACAAATTCTTACTGGCAGTTCATCATTTATAGCATAAAAAGAGGACTTTGAGAAAAAGTTCAAGCAAGTACTCGCAAAGATAAATAATGCTGGGAAAACAAAAACTAATTAGTTCTATGAACAATCAAATAGCAAGAACAAGACTAACATACAAACAGAACAGTGATGGCAACGAGGAGGTTTGCCATTTTGACAACGAGCGCAATATCCTGTATTTGGTCTTCTTTCTATTCCCTCTGGAGGGGAAGATGTAGAAGCTCTTGTTTCAGGAGCAATATAATCAGACAGTGTTGCAGAAGCAGTTCTTTCCAAACTCTCTTCATCAAGTAAAGGCCTCCAGTTAGCAGGAACAGCACCAGGATCATGAAAAACTACCATAAAATAACTCCATATTAACAATGCAAGCTGCAGAGAAAAACACGGTCTTGAATAATTTGCAAACAAACCTTTTCAGTTATAGCATCCACAATAATGATGAAAGCTAGATGAGAAATTATAAGTTGAATTTAACAAAGTTTAAGCAAAGACAAGTAGATTTATCTATTACTCAAAATAAGTCATCCTACACAAAACACCATCATGTTCTTGCACATGACAGGAAACATTTAATGTTACTTGTGTAAGTAAACATGTAAATAGAAAAACACTTTAAATATTCACAAGGTGAAAGGACAGTAGAAACAACCACATATGACAATGTTTATTTTACAGAGATTCACACAGTTGCAAAAGATAAATTCTGCTAAGGTTGATCAAGTACATCTTTGTCTCAAGACCCTTGGCTTTATAATATACATTTCCAATACAAACCTTCATTTATTAATTATAGTGTGCTGCCTACAGATGCTAAGATTGATGTGCTAATCCAATCTGGGAGCTAGAAATACCAGTTGCTATTGGATATGTGCATGTCTGATTTGGATGCTATAAAAGCTGTAGAGATTGCTAAGTTTCCTAGTGATGACACCTGGATATGGAAGGGTCACCCTTCTGGGAAAGCTACTTCAAGGGGTGCATTTATTCATCTAAAGAACCTAAATACAAATACTTCAGAATGTTGGTATGGCTGGCATGATCTGTGTAGCCTTCCCCTCAGGCCGTTATTCCCAGAATTCACCTCTTCTGTTGGAAACTTCTTCACCAAAGACTACCTACTACTGATAGACTTCGCCACTTCAATATGACCTTTCATACTATCCAACATCTGTTTTTTACCCGTTCCTTTTCCAACCAATTATGGTATTGGTGGCAAAACAATCTCCAAAACACTTTTGAATATAAACTTATCTGGTTTCAGGGTGATTGGCTGAAAGAACGGACAATCACAGGATGGGGAAAGTTAATACAGGCAGTCATTGCAAACCAACTATGGTTCATTTGGAAATCAAGGAATAATGTCCTCTTTAATAACTCAACACCTTCCATTAAGTGTATTGGGGTTCAGGCTCTGGCTCACACTGGCTATTATGCCAGATCATCTTTGTCTAAAGACTCGATACTAAGCAAAACTCTACATCTTCAAGGCAAAAATCTCCTGTAGGCTAGTTTAAATTAAACACCGATGGATCTTGTTCTTTGCAAGATGGAGGAACTGGCTTCATTCTCCGGGACCCTCGTGGAAGATGCAAAGCAGCTGGACTTCAGTATATATACAGCAGCTCAGCACTACAGTGTGAAGAAAAAGCTGTAGAATTGGGACTCCAATATGCACTCAACAATGGTTACCTCAATTTACAAATTAAGACAGACTCCATCACATTAGTAAACCTGCTCAAATCAAACTAGCAACCCCCATGGCTAATCAAGCATTCAGTTAATGGCATCAAACATCAATTGTTACAGCTTAATTCCCATGCCATTTTACACGGCTTTAGAGAATGTAATTTAGCAGCACACTGGGCTGCCAAAAACTCCAGATCTGATAAGCTTTCTGTCATATGGGAAGACCTTTTCTCTCATGATCTGTATGTAACTATCCAAAACGACCTCAATAGGTCATTTGGTAGAATTGTTAAATCTTAACTAATGTTTCTTTTTGCAAAAAGAAAAAGATAAATTCTGAAAAATCTAGAAGCATATCACTGAACTCTAATGCAACAATATGAAGCTTGTCTAGAGGAAACCGTGTTCATATAATAACAAGAAAATTTTCACCTGCCAACCTCTTCCCTTCTGAAACCTTAATATTGAACATGCAGCATAACATCATAATATAACTTCCAAGACATGGAACCTACAGTAGCCATCAGTAACTCCTTGATTCCGCAACTTTTAGCTAAGAATGCCGAATCCTACAATAAAATAACCTCACTTATCCATTTCTGCAATTTCCTACTTATACTTGAATTACTTTTTCTTTAGGAAGAGCCTCTCAGTAAAAGCATGTCTGAGGTCCCCAAGTACCCATTAATCACTAATTCCCTTGCAACATCCCTGACTGGAGGCATAAACCTTCTCTACAAAAGCACATTGTGTCTTCATAACTCTTTCAAAAGCAAGCAAAATACAATTAATTCAGCACAGATTAACCAATACTTGGTATAACACATGACAACATTTAGAGATTAAGCATCATGACATCTAGATTATAGTTTCTGAAACTTGTCCAATCCAAATTACTCTAGCATAATATGAAAAAGATAGCTGTTTCTTACCCTCTCCAAGCACCTCCGAATTATTTAATATTATTAACATTTAACAGAATGAACAACCAAGTGATGATATCCAACTCAAATAATATGACCCTGCTCATTTCTAATAAGAAATCCAGCTCCATACTTATAAGACAGGCTCACGATCCCCATCAGAATTGATTTCAACAATTGGTTGTACTGGGGGAATGGAATCTACTGAAAGCAAAGTGTAAAATTTAAAATCTTCCAGTCTCTGAACTCCCAAAAGTCCAGCCATTCTATCTCACCAGGTACAACACTCTGTATTCTTGTTATTAGCTTCCATTAAAACAAGCCAGTCATCTGCATAGAGACAATTGAATGTCAGACCACCTCAATCTGCATCCTGTTAGAGCATCACATCTCATTTTGCTGCTCAATAACAACCTGGACTAGACATATAAAAAGGAGGTGAGGAGAAAAGGAATCTACTCGTCTGACCCCTCTGCAAAGAAAACCAAAAAGGGGAAACCTTCACTAGCACAGCATAGGCAGGAGCACTATTAAGCTGCAACATATATACATTGTGTCCTTTTCTCAGGCCCTTACCTAATAACCTAATCGATTATGCCTATTGTTGGGCCTTACAAAAAAGTCACCATTAGTTTTACCTTTCTGTTCCAAATATCTGATCTTGAGGCGGCTTCACAAATATCCAAGCCTGCAACAATTACTATTTCTTCTTTTGGTTCGTTGGGCAGATAAATTTTCAATTAGGAGTTATGACAAGTAAGAGAATTCCTTCCAACATTGGCTACAAGGGTATTGGACATTGAGTATAGTTTGGATTCCGCGTACCAGTAGATGGAAGACGACAATGATGACAGAGGCAAGGACAGAGACGGGGAAGCCGTGAGAGAGGCGCGGGCCCCAGGCGACGACGACTACCGCGTAGTAAGAGAGGGTGACGATGGCGAGCACCAGAAACACCATGAAGGAGCCGAGCACCCGGAGGGCCGAGCAGAGGCGGAAGGGGTTGGCAGAGCGGCAGCAGTCCATGCGGGCGAAGCGATCCGCCGCCCGCCGCGGCGAGCTGCGGCTCACCGACCCCGAGGCGTAAAACAGCAGCCTCCTCGTGCCGCTTCCCGACGGGAACAGCCGCTTCCAGATCTGCGCAGCCAGCTTCCCCCTCTCGGCCCACAGGACGGTGGAAGAAAGAAGAAAGAAGGGGGAAGACGAAAAGGTCGAAAAGGAATTCCACTAAAGGTAAAATGGTCGGAAGCCGACGGCCAAATTTACGTGCGAGCCCCTAAATCCCCAATTACGCATCATGCAACCAATGATGATCATTAGGCTTTGGTGGGCCATGGGCTTATGTGGGCCTGTACCGACAGACACCGAAGTGGGCCTCATATTTGATGAAGTTTGAGCATATTGTGGTCTGGGCCGCCGACTTCTCGGATGTATCAATATCATCATCCAACTCGATCTATCGAGTGCTTTGGCGTCGGGAGATGCTGAATCGCTCCATTGGAAAAGGTAGTACGGTCACGTGATACTACAGTATACGGACGTGTGATTTATTGTTTCATAATAATTATAAATATATATATATAAATAGTTATTATATTTATTACAGCGATGTTACTGTGTCTGACATGAAGTACAACCCATTCACGTGACGTGGTGACTACTTTATGGAACTCCAGTTTGGTACTGACAACGCTCGCAAACCCATGCACATCTCGAGTCCGTGCTTTATTCGTGTCTCAAATCCAATATAAACTTCGTATCACCATATAAATTACACCAATAATTTTGAAGAACAAAAGGCTGCGTAGGTAATTGTATGAATTTTATTGACAAAGGAAATAATATCAAATCCTTAAAAACACACATAGAAGAGACTTTTCCCACCTTTCCTCTGAGGAAATATCTCCTAAGGGATACATACTGTTTCCCTTTTCCTTTTTTTTGGGGGGTCGTTTTTAGGAGTTTCTTTTTTCTCCCTAATTTTTTCTTCTTTGAGAGTAACGCTCTGAATTAGATTTGGCATTCCTCCAGATCTCCTCAAGCTCTCTGGCGAAGGCTTTCTGCCGGCCCACAACGATGGTAATGTGATCCTTGTCGTCGACGACCGTAACGCGAGCTCGCGGGATCTTGGACTTGACGGCGTAGCTGCACTCCAGCGGGAGGAGCTCGTCGTCTCTCCCATGGAACACCGCGACGTCGCAGCTTAGCCGGTCCCTCACCTCGTCGAGGTACCCCTCCATCTTGCCGGCGCTGCCGCAGATGATGTTGTGGAGAGTGTGCCACGAAGCGTGGTGAGCGTGGCAGAAGAAGCCGTCCATTAGGTACGTCCTAACCCTGCCAGTGAAACACACCACATTTACTGATCAGTACATCACATTTACTCGTGGATGTGGGTGGACCAGCCGCTTCACCGGTGTCTGGTGAGACGGTGAACTACTCATACCAACAAGGGGGTCGTAGGAAACCATGGTGGTTCCCTTAAGTTAGCGGCATTCTTAGGTCATCCTCATCCAAGTCTTCGTGTATTATTGTATGATTCAGTCCATGGGACGACGCCAAACATGTTTTCGGTGGACATCCTCTCTACATCTCACGAGTATTATTATGGGATCGAGCAACTTGGTGTATAGTCAACTACCTGTTACGTGTTGCGAACTTGAAGATACGCTCCCACAGGCGGTGGTGCTTGCACAGGATGAGGCACACCGTGCGGCTGATGTGCTCGTACCAGCAGATCACCGACGAGCCGAATGTGATCGGTGGCCACACCCGTCGCGGCGCCACCCGCCGCAGGACGTATTGCGTCCCCTGCTCCCCCTTCGGCACCGGGAAGTACGGCTGCCGATGCTCGATGATCAACAAGAGAACACCAAAGAACGAGATGAAATATAGCTAGCAGAGACGTCGGCTGGGTTACCGGCGCGAGGATGGTGAGGGATTTGACCGCGCCGGGGTGCTTGACGGCGAGGGCGAGCGCGAGGAGAGAGCCCAGAGAATGTGCTACGAGGTGGAAGGACTTGACGTTGTAGCACTCCAGGACGGACTTCTCGATGGTCTCGACGTGCTCTCTTAACGTGTACAGCGAGTCCACCGGCTTGGGGCTCTTGCCGAACCCCAGCAGATCCACCGCAAGCAGGCGATACCTCGCCCGGGCCTCGTCGCCGAAGTTGGGGAACACCGTCTCCGTCCAGAATGCTGATGAGGATATGAATCCATGGATGAACAGCACGTCCTCCTCTGCCATGCTTCCATCTAAGCCGCATTGCTTATCATATGGCCGTCACGTTAGATTTACCTACTGTGTAACTCTGGTTCAAGGCTAACCTTTGGGGCATTCGGCATGGACGAAGAGAGTGTCGCGCGAGCCGGACGGGGAGCAGCTGTCGCATGGACAGTCGGACCAGGAGCGGACGGGGTGCGACTTCTTGCTGCCCATCTTTCCCTGTAGCATCTGGATTATGGTGGAGTTGACGGTGACAGTGGTGGCGGCGGTTACAGAGGACGGCGAAGTGCTGCGCCGCCACCGGATGAGTTTTCGCCTGCGGAGCTCGTCGAGGACAGTCTTGGAGGTTTCGGAGAGGAAGGAAGGGCGGGAGTAGAGAGTATCGGAGATGTCCTCGAGATGTAGCTTGGTGGAGGAGATCATGGAGAGGACGAAGATCTTGCTACTGCCAGAGATGATTCCACCCGGCGAGGAGGAGCAGTAGCAGGGCTTCCACTGCGCCTCCAGCGCATAATCCGCCAGCTTGTAGAAGAAGCAGAGGAGCCCGTCCACCACGTCCAGCAGAGTAAAGACAACGAAGCTGAGCACGTCGTTGGCCACCCGCCCCGCCACCACCAACGCCGTCCTCACGGCTCCGCTGCCCATGACCGAATCAAGAGCTGCTAATCTTCCAGTTACAGTGATGAGCTCGGCCGTCCAAAACAGAGCACTATACTCCTTGATGATGGCAACTCTCAGCAAAGGGTAGGAGACAGAGAAGAAGTGCAGCAAAAGATGCCTGCTTGATGTCCTCGGAAATGGGCGATCGCAACCATTCCAACGGGCCAAACCACGCAGAGAATGGGGTGGGGATTGACGGAGAATATGGATATCAATGATTTGGGAAGTAAATGGACGTGTGTGGAGAGTGAGAGGGAGATTCATGAGACGATGTCTTTCATTAAAGTCCATCGTCGAACAAGGAAACTGGGTAGGTGGTGGTTGAACTCCCAAGCTGAACACTTCCATTCTTGTGCTTTGCCGTGTTTTGTGCAGACTGTGGATTGGAACCTCCTGCAAGCCACGTGATTGGGAAGAAGATACAAAGAAAACGACGGCCCGTCGTGATTGCAGTAAGTAATGACTCCAATTCTTCAACCAATATAAACTAAATGTGATCTTACCGTAGTCTCATACTTTGGGAATCAACGTCAGTTCGAGCGCCGAGATGGATGCATATGTCGCTCTGAATGCTGAATGTAATCTTATTAGAATCCCCATTTTGAGCACTCGGATAGGTGTCATCTCATAAAGTTGGTCACTAATCTTTACCAGTACAAACTCTCTTAACCTTCTTATGGGGATGTACCTAAAAAAGGCAAGATCACTGAAATCGCTATCGGCTCAAAGAAGCCTTGACTCGACGCTCTTCAAGTAATACAAGACCAAACATCATCAAGTCCTCTTCAACCCACCACAGTGGATGTCATCTCCTAAGGTTAATCAGTAGTCTTTACTAGCCCGACCACTTTAAACCGTGAGGAATTATCCGTTTTCAGATGACCAATCTTAGTTTTGCCTTATTCGGGAATGAATAATTACAGAATAATTCTAGGATACTTAAATTGCCTCAAATGTCGACTTATTTTTTCTTCTCTATTATATCCTTTTTGATAATTACTATTTGTAACCCTCTTTGATAATTACTATTTGTAATCCTTTTCGACAATGAGGATGAAATAAGGGACGTGAAAAAGAAAAATAAAATTTAGAGCTATAAATATTAAAATAATATTTTATTATTCTTTAAGAAATTATCAATAATGAGAGGTTGAATTTTTTTCCCCCTCTATGAGTCAGTGAATTGCTTACTAAGAGACAATGGAAAGAAGTAGACATTGTTGCAGTAACAAGGACAAAGGGGCACTACTGAAATGTAGAGGAAGAAGCAAAAGCTCAAGTCCACATCAGTTATCTACGTGTAGCTAAGATTTCCTATTGTGATGCAGTTCATTGAATGTGTGCATTCAATTGCGACATGTTGTTGTTGTTAGCATTATAATTACTCGATGTTCATTAAATCGTAGAGTTACCGGGCTGCTTCGTGTATGAAGGATTGGTAAATCCACACTAATAAAATCGTAAATTTTGAACTATTTGAGATGTTATATGAATCTTTATTGCTATAGAGATCCATCCATAAACTATGCTATTTATGGATCCATAATTCATGATCATATGACTCAACATCTATGAGCTACGCTATAGATTGGCTTGATCTGAAGATATATACATGTTATATTGGGGAGAAGAATAAATACTTTAAAGTGTTAAAGTAGATCTAATTGGACTTCATGTTTACATGTATATCATTGACCTAAGAGTCTTTAGTTTTAGTTATAGTCCTAAGGCTTTTATTAGTCATTTGTTTTGTTGAATCTTAAGCCCTTTATGAATAAGGGGCAATTTAATGCTCAAAATCAAAAGAAAAAGAGTGAGATAGGATAGAGGCAAAAGAGGTTGAGATAGAAGTGTTTGATTATTAATGTAATTCTATCTCTAAAGTTTATCGAATCTCATTATATCTTTTTAAAATTTTAAGATGAGATATGAGTAGGCAAGATTTGATTTGAATGAAATAAATTGATAAAAAAAAAAAAGTAAAGGGATTAAGCCCTTATAAGTTTGAATGAAGATGAATTGCATTAGAGATGTACTTTGTGTGAGATAAAAGCATATGAACGGCTGAAGAAACAATATTTGTGTGAGTATTTGTGTGAGATGTACTTTGTGATTCTATTCTCCCGTCTTCTCAGGTAGAGGGAGGGGACGGAGAGTGATGAAGCATGGCCCAGGCAAGAGTCCGTTCTCTGGATTCATGTAACCCATTCTCCATCAATTCATTTACTAGCATTTCTCTGCTCTGATCTCTCTGCTTCGCCAGGAAGGTCAAACCTTAGCTCCATTTATATCACTGAGATGATGTCTCCTGTCAGAACCAGTTCAGTGTAGGTAATGCTGCACTATACATCACCTTCAAATTAGTTGAATTGGATATAAAATATTTCAGGCTTGTATCCTTAATTATTTGTCTTTATTTTATCGAATGTTGTCGAATGTAATCAGGTGTGATCCCACTAAATAAGAAGCATGAAACCCTATCTGTAGCTACTACTACTATGTTGATGCTGAGCATTTCCTGCTGCATTACTTTTACTCTGCTTATTACCAAGCTGAAGCTATGAACAAGAAGAAGCTACCATCTCCTAAATTTTTGAATACACATTGAAGTACATAAATGGCCCAAAGATACATATTCTGCATGTCATACAAAGCATATCATGTCCAAGCTTCTCTTCCTTCATCCAAATTTACAAGCTTTGCCTGCTTCTTAGGGCACCTACTTAGTTGAAAAACAGGGCGACTGCAAAACTTCCTCACTACCTTCCTAAAACTCACCCTATCCATCATACTTTCCACATCCCCATATACATATCCACACTGACACTCATCTCTTGTAGCATCTAATTCATTTATCATTTCAATTTTAGGCTCAAAGCTGCCTTCACTGCTACCCAATGATGGTTCACCATTGAACAGGAGTTTGCCTATAGCGACTTTATCAAGGGCATAGATGCCTAGAATTTTCTCATTGGTGCACAGAGCATATTTTTCTGAAGGTTTAGATAATGTTGCTTCATCCTTGTCACTTGGAGATTCAGAGTACGAACTGAATGCGATGGCCGCAAAAGATGCCTCTTCTCTTTCTCGCAGCGTCTTTATGATCAATGTCTTGAGGAAGTTCATCACTTGGACAGCATGGATCAGTTCAGTTAATGGATCAGCCATCTGAAAAATAGACATGAAAAAGTCCTTAGTATAGATTCACTCTGTGTGAACAGTACTCAGCTAAGATCTAACATTCTCTGGTAACCTGAGTCATGTTAGGTGCAAAAACCATTGCAATATTTCGAGCATTCATTTTATTGTAGTGTTCATGCTCCACAACATCTGCCATCAAATTAATGGCCCAGTCAAGCAATGCTGCTTCAGTTGGTGGTAGCATCCTCGCAATTTCAGAGCACACTTCTTCAGTGTTGCAGTGCATCACCTGATCTGGTGTCAGTGAGTCGAGTACTCCTCTGGGTAACTCTCTAAACCATGCCTACAGCAGCAAAAGAACTTCTGATCAGCTAAATACTAAATGAATTGTTCAAAAAGAACCAAAATACATTTGAATTTTTCAATCGCAAACAGAATTAAATTTCATCTGCACAACAATTTTGTTTTCTTAATTCTGTAATCTAAGATTGATAGATCCAATGGCTCTATGCATTGATTGTCTCTTATTCCTCATTTACTATAAGAATTGAAGTCTTTTGATCATGTTCAGTGCCAAATTCTGATGTGTAAGGAGGTTATTAGAAATCAAGCAAAGAGTAAGAAAATAGAGATATAGCAACTTCTTAAACATCCATACAACAGTAGAAAAATACACAAATACTATCATGTACATATTGGAGTCTCCTTCAAGGTTTGAAATAGGTAGTTGAAAAAAAATTTATGTTAGACTAACTTTTAGATAAATAAATATAATAAAATTGAACATTTTTAGACTTGATGCAGAAGAGTACTATCACTGGGTTTGAATGGAACAAACAGAAATTTGTAGGCTCATGGAATATTAATATATGATCATTGGCATAAGTATTTGCAATAAGAAGAGTTGTTCAAAAGAATGTTTGCAATACCACCAATAGTACAAATGGTATTTACCGGTCTGACATGTTACTGGTGTACGGACCATGGTAAACCTAGTGGTATGTCTGGTACCAGTCCTATACCACATGGTATGCCTAGTATATGGTTGGTACAAGACCACTCGATACCTATATGGTTTCTTTTTTCAACCTTTTTAGGTTGTCTTTGAAACTTGGTAGGTACCAGCATATCGAGTGTTGGTACATTGCCACGGACTTATAGGTACTAGTCTAAACCCTGATTGGTATAGTATTGATACATGAAATTGTGAACCTTGACTCAAGGAGAACAAGAACATTCTAGAAATTGAAAAAGTTTCTGAAACAGGAAATTCACTTCTTTTGAATCAATCTATATTCTTTATTTTGAGAAAGTGCAAGAAATCGATCTTAACGCTTAACTCTACTTCAGAACACCCCCAGTACAAAAGAATGTATATTTGTGTTCACGAAATGAATGATCTTAAATCAGGAGATGCTTAGCAAATCAAAGATAGCTTAACTAAAAACTCAATTCTTTAATAAAGTTGGATGTTTATAACACCTTTATCAATCCTGCTAGACAATGCAGATCAGTTCCATGTAGTACAATTCCTCTATTCAGTTGTTCTCTGAGAAACACTTCTTGGCTATTCTCAGCATTAATTCTGAAAATTCCTTCCACCTTCAAGAAAATAAGGAATTCTATGGATGAATATGTATCCAATACATACATACATACATACATACATACATACATACATATATAAATAAATACATACATATATATATGTACATATACATGTACATCTACATATACATGTACATATATATATATATATATATATATGCAAGAATGAGCTAACCTGTAGACCTCCTTGTAAATACAAATGCCTTTGCATTGACAGTAGAATCGTTGGAACGCTGTTTCCTCTTTTATCATAGGAGCACTGCATAGATTCGACAGAAACTCCAAATATACTCGTACTATGAAAAAAAAAAACATTTGATGAGATGACTTATTAGATTAATTATGATCTCTACAGTTAAAATCAAATAAATGATGGCTATTCAATCAGGAAAGGCATGACTGGTTCTATTGCTACTGCTCAAAGATAAAAACAATGTGCACGGTAGAACTAAAAATTGAGATAAAGGAAATAATACAAACAACAAGAGCAATGAAATATATCATTAATCACTTCCACTATACAATAAACATCACCTTAATCAATTTGAACAGTATCGAATCAAACGTCCAATTTAGAACATGAAACAACATGTACAAGATTGTTTGTTTGACAAGAAACCAAAATTAATTTATAAAATTATTATATAAGTTAGCAAAACAAGTCTCTAACAGAAGATATTTAAAAAAAAAATGAAAACAGACGATAATATTTTTAATACAAGAATTATAAAATTTTGAATTTTAAATGTCATGAAAT